ATCCAAATTTGCAGATTCCAGTATAAATGAAAAACAAATCAGCAACATGTACCCTCCTGACAGAAATAATTTGAAATACTTGAATTCTTTGCTACCCATGAAATACATTTCAGTTTGCATCCAAGTGCAATAAAAAAACAAGCTCATAGATGACTACGTTTGGAAGATGTATCAAGGTTCTTGTGAAAGATAACCGCAGTAGTATTTAACCTACTCACATGAGCAGGTGCATCATTAGTAGGTGGTGACAGGTCACGTGAAAGGTTAATATGTTAGTCATAAATAGTGGTAACAAAGTGAAAAGCGATAAAGAGAAATGTGTTGAGTGAGGAATATCACCTATGCTTTAGGAGTTACGTAAAGAATGTCTTTAGACCAACTGCACAGTTTTAAACCAGAAGGATTTAATTTAAGTAACAAGAAAAATTTTTCAAACAGGAGAAATATTAAGGTGTTCATAGAAAAAAAAAAAATAAATAAAAATTACAGTCTCTAATCAGAAAGCATCCATGTTAAGAAACATAATTTTTTTTTCAGAACACCAAGTCTGAACCATGAACACCTACGAAAAAATATAAAAAGCATTCCTTTAAAAAGAATGTCTATATGGCCTGTATGGATATATCGGGGAGATGTTCAACTGCCTAGAACTGTTCATAACAGCAGGATTACACAGAAAGGCTCTACTCTGCTTCTTCATAATCATTTTGAAGGAGATTAAAAAATCTCTGGCTAACTATAGGAGCATTTAAAATACCTGAGAGAAGTATCCACACATCACCTGTTTTAAAATATTTTCTCTTCTCTAAAACAGTAGTACAAAAAGAAATACAACTTCCAAACAGCAGAAAAGCAGTTACTAGTGATCCATTCGAGATTTTTTAGGTAACCCTAGTGAGAGTACAAAGCTGTTTGTCCAGCTTCTGTACAAATGGAAAAGTTCCCTGGACTAAACCCACAAAAATGTGAAAGCTAAGATCTGTGATTTCTGAAAATGAATACAAGAGAGCTGAGAGGTTTGACACTGTGTTAAATCAGGTAGGTAAAACAATTTGAGAGAGAGACACAGAAGGAAGTAACCATAACAAATCACATCTCTAAGGCAATGTCTCTCACATTACAAGTCTAAATTCAGACTGTAGTAAACAAGCCTCTCATTATTAATAGTATAAATGAAATAAATGGAAATAGTGAAAAACAAAGTAAATATTCTCTCAATTTTCTCCCACCCCTCTTCTCTGTAATAAAGCCACAGCAAAAATTTGCATATACCTCATGACACCAGTGCTTAGCAGGGGTCAAATGAAGATGCTGCAAAGATTGTATTCATCTACATATAAATGAGAGATATCTGATTGTACTGTAGTTTCAAAGACCATAGAAAGAATATTTAAAAACAGAAGTGTAACATCCTTGTAAAAAACAAAGATCAGGTAACTCTCAAAACCAGAAGCATGAACAAAACTTAGAGACGGCAGTAAAGAGAAAGCTATTACATTTGGAGATCTTCACTTCTTCTGAGGCTTCCTGTTTTTAAAGTATCTACCTGTCAGAGCAGTGCAGTATCACAGAATCATAGAATTATTAATACTGGAAAAGACCTCTAAAATCATCTGGTCCAACCCCCAACTCATCCCCACCATGCTCACTAAGATGTCTCTCAGTGCCATATCCACGAGGTTCTTGACTCCTCCAGGGACTGTGACGCCACCAACTTCCCCAGGCAGCCTGTTCCAGTGCCTGACCATTCCTCTGGAAAAGAAATTTTTCCTCACATCCAACCTGAACCTCCCCTGGCACACTTTAAGGCCATTCCCTCTTGTCCTATCACTAGTTAAGCAGAAGAAGAGGCCAACCCCACCTTGCCACAACCACCTTTCAGGCAGTTGAAGGGTGATAAGGTCTCCCCTGAGCCTCCTCTTCTTCAGACTGAACAATCCCAGTTCCCTCAAGCATTCCCCAAAAGACCTGTGATCTAGACCCTTCACAGCTTTGCTGCCCCTTTCCAAACACGCTTCAGGATCTCAAAGTCTTTCTTGTAGTGAGAAGCCCAAAACTGAGCACAGTGCTTGAGGTGTGGCCTCATCAGTGATGAATAGAGAGATCACCTCTCTGCTCCTGCTGGTAACACTATTTCTGATACAAGCCAGGATGTCATTGGCATTCTTGGCAACCTGGGCACACTGCTAGCTCATGTTCAGGCTTAGTGTCAAAACAACACCTCTAGGTCCATTTCCTCCACACAGGTTACCAAAGCCCACGACTTCTGAACCAACATCAGTCAGGGGGAATATAAGAAGAGAACACATTAATATGTACTCATCTTGAAACCTGAATGAAGTCCAGATTCAAAAAGTATTCTGCAACTCACAGTTTCTGCTCCAGAAAGAAAAGTTTTAAATCATTCTTTTTATGTAGGTATATTAGTCCTAAGCCATTCCACTTAAACTTTTAAACTGTATCTTACATCTTTTAAAATAATTAAATGAGAAGTAGCTCATGTTTTTCCAAAATCATATATTTTTAAGCAAATCAACCAAAGCTATGGAAATATATATAACTGAGCATTGATTAATTATCTTCCTTAGACCTAGACTTGCACAATCACAAGTGCAGTTTTCAGCATGGGGAAGTACTAATTTTACCAGCAAGTATAGTTTTATTTTAATTTGGTGGTGTTATCATACAAACCAGAGAACAGGGAAGAATAAGGCTGAGAAAGACATTAAAAAAAACCAGTGCCTCACAATTTTAAAACCACTCAGAAATTCACACATTAGTAGTTTGGACCATGCTTCTACATTTGATTATTACAATGTTATTCAAGTCAGGATCAAATGCATTACCAGAGATATACGACACGTACTGTTTCTCCAAAGTGCACTCCTCAGTTAAAGCAAGTTTTAGATTGGTTGGATATTATGATTCTCAAATAAATCTAGACATCCTCTCTTAGTCAAAACCGTGTACATCTCCAGAAATACAACAGGATGTATAAATAATACTACTAGCTGGTCCAGATTATCCATCCTATTCTCTTTATAAATCATGTGCTTTTTCTGCTTTTTATAGATTTCGTATGTTTCTGTCCAGTTTTCATTAACTGGTTTACAATTGACTACAACTGATCCTATGCTTCCTAGAGAAGCATACATTTGATTTGATTTGATTTGATTTGATCCTATGCTTCCTAGAGAAGTATAGGATATAATTCCATTAATTGGCAACTTCTTTGAACTTTTTTGTCTCTTAGGTACATTTGAATATCTACAAATTTTTACTTTACATATGGAAACTTCAGGTCCTGTTTCGCATTGCATTCAAAACAAGCAAACGAAAAACAAGGAGGCTTTTAAAAATACTTTCAGAATATTTTTCATTGATTTATTTTTGAGTAATGTAGCTTAAAGAAGTTGATTTTCCTCAGCTGCCAGCAATCGCTTCCATTAGACTTTAACTCTTGAGCAGGAAGCTGGACTAGACAATCTCCTGAGGTTTGCTTGCAGCTAGAATTCCCCTATGTGAATTTCATGGAAGGCAAGCAATCACTTCAAAAACAAAACCTTTTCTCTTTCATGTTTTACTTCTCCACTTAAAATTCTGCACAGCATAAATCAGGACCATAGTACAAAACCATCTTTCATTACAAGCCTCACTTAGAACTAAAATATGAATTTGATCCAAATATATTGATGGAGAAGCCAAGAACAATGCCTTACATGTACAACATTTGCATATCTTTACATAACAAAGAATAGTTCTTGTGTATAGAAAGCATAAGGGAGCAACAAAGAGTTTTAAAAGAAAAAACATGTGAAGAATTTTTCTACATAATGTTTCTCAACAATCTGATCTCCAGAACAAAAAAAATGAATTAAGAGAATCACAGAATAATCTATGTTGAGAGGAACCCACAAAGACCATCAATCAAGTCCAGCTCATGGCTCCACATAGGACCACCCAAAATTCAAACCCTTTGCCTGAGAGGGTTGTGCAAACAGATCCTGAAGTCAAGCAGCTCAGGGCTGGGCCCGCTGCCCTCTGACAAAAAACCTTTCCCTAACATCCTCCCTTCCCCTCCCCTGGCACAGCTCCATGCCGTTCCCTCAGGCCCTGTCGCTGTCACAGGGAGCAGAGCTCAGCGCTGCCCTCCGCTCCCTGTGAGGAGCTGCAGCCACCATGAGGGCTCCCCTCGGCCTCCTCTGCGCTGAACTACAAAACCCAAAGATGTCTCCTCACACGTCTTCCCTTCCAGACCCTTCTCTATCTTTGCAGTCCTCCTTTGGATTCAGTCTAACAGTTCCGTATCCTTCTTTATACTGAGACATGTGGTGAAGAGGTGAAGCCGCACAGTGCAGAGCAGACAACACCTCCTGTCCTGGTGGCAGAGCTGGGTCTGGTGCAACCCAGGATACAGTTGGCCCCTTGGGCTGCCAGGGCATGGTGCTGGCTTCCATACAGCTTGTCCTCAACCAGAACTCTCAGATTCCTTTCCATGGAGCTGCTCTCCAGACTTTCATCCTCCAGTATGAGCATGTAGCCTGAAGCGCCCAATTCCAATTGCAAAATCCAGCACTCAACCATGTTAAAATGCATGTGGTTGGTGATTGCTCAGTCCTCTAACTTGTCACGATCCCTCTGTAAGGCCTCTGCCTGAAAAGAAGTCAATAGCTCCTGTCAATAGCTCCTGTTTAGTGTTGTCACTGGCAGAAACGGGTAGGAAGATTTTACACATACCTCTTGTTTTGTTAAGCTGCGTAACTTAAGAACTTGAACATGGTTTCTCAATGACTACTATCCTTTTTCACTCAATTCTATGAGTTTTGGAAATATTATACACCACCACTTGCTAAAATCACATTCGCTTTCTTGTAAATGAAACGCACCGGCAGCCTGACATTGTTTCCGTGACTGTCCAAAGGCTGAATTAACACGCTTCTATATGTATAGAATAACAAGAACAAATAATCTATAGGACTTGAAAGGAAAAATGTACTTACAGTATTGGCAAGTTCCAAGTAGTTTCCTCCAACAGAGCTGCTATAATTCGAGGCCTGAGATAGAAGATTCTGCAGAGCAGCTTGTTTAGCCACATTGCTTCCACCATTCTCCAATACCTTTTGTAGGGTAAAATGACTCTGAAGGTCTGGACTCTGAAGATCTCTTGCTCCTGAATCATACTCCCAGCTTTCTCTGGCTCCTGATAAGGCACCTAAAATGCAGAAATTAAAAATCATTGTAATATAGTCTGTGTATAGAGAACTCATCAATCAGCCAGCTTGCCTTCCCAGAAAGAAAACAAGCAAACAGCTCTTTTGCCCAGTCTTACACACACTGACAGTACTAGAGAGAGGAAAAAGAACCAGTCAATGCACAGATATATGCCATATCACAAGAACCAAAGAAAAAACAAAAACATCTGGAAAGCATTATTTAGTGAAGGGTAAAAAAAAAAAGTAAATAGTGAAATTTATAATAGCTAAGGACCACAGAAGGAAGAAGTGTCAGCAATTCTGTCATGGTTAAGAACGGCATTAGAGAACAAGAGGAAAACTGTAATTCTTAACTTCTTTTTAATAGAATAACAACACAACATATAAATACTCTATTTGTACAGTTTATGACCTTGTTACATTAGCATTACCTCCTTATTATCTCAGGCTTGCCTGTTACTTACAAGTTTCAAAAATGCACGAATCACAAAGCATTTCATTAATAATCAATGCAAGAAAATGATCGTATATCTAGTGACAATGAATGCTTAAGAGAATCATCAAATGGTTTGAGTTGGAAAGGACCTTCAAGATCATCTAGTTCCAACCCCCTTGTTACAGGCAGGGACCTGTAATGCAGTACTCCAGGTAGGGTCTCAGGGGAGCAGAATTTATTTTATAGCTATTTTTCTGTCTTAAATTAACATTACAAACAAGTGCTTACTAATTAGTATTTATTTATTGTTTAACTGGTAAAATTCTAGGGAGAAAGAATAAACTATTTAACAACTAGTAGAGCGCCTTCCCACGCCCTCACCCAAAAATTTTAAGCTGCAAAAGAGCAACCAGAAGGGAAGCAAGCTGGCAACCAAAATTTATCTTAAGATCAACATCCTTACTCCCCTGCAAAGCAGTCATATCTAACAAACTGTCTTAAGAAACTCAGAGGTGGTTTTCCTCACTTAATGTAAAGAGAATGCACTAGTCCCTGAGCATTTAAGTAGAACAAAACATGAAACAAAGAATTACAATTTCTACTAATACAATTAACATGATTCATTATCACAGTACAGATAACAATAAAAATTAATTTGCTTACTTTTACACTGAAAGTATGCATCAGCTGTAAATTATCTAAGACAACATGCTGCAACATGTCCAACATAATTGAACTGAGACATCATTACCAATAGTTCAACACCCAAAACACAGATTCATTACGTGGTGTGTACTAAGTACAGTGCTACACATCTCTGCCCTCTTGTGGCTACTGTATACAGTATACCAAAAAACCTGCAACCAACATAACTGAAGAACAGAGATTCCTCAAGAGCCTGAGGGAGATGGGGAATCAGTTCTGTTATCTCCAAGACAGGAATACAGAAGACGGCCATAAATTTACAGCTTGTTGTATCACACTTCTTTTTACAGAGTTAAATATGGCACTAACAGAGCATGTGCACTGTAAATTTTGATTACTTAAAGGACAATGGCCAGTAAAAGAGCTCTCATATTCAGTGAATTAACAATATTAGCACTGCTGAAGACCCCAGAGGCCTTCATAGACTGCACTGCATGCGGTTGGATACACTGATTGATGAGGCTCTAGGGAATGACAAACACAAATATGTATATTTACAGTACTATGACTGTAATTTTAACCCATCTTTCTTACAGGCTTAAGCCTGTACTCCTAACTTGAAAGATCTGTTCTAAAAAATTCTATTCCACCTTACTCAGGGTTCACTAGGTTTGATGTCTCACCATCTGCAAAACTCTCCATAATGTCACAGAGAGCTGTGTTCTTGTGTTGACATCATTTCAGCGTGCAGATCTCAAAGAAAAATGGCATTCCCTCTTCCAATAATCAATATTTTGTGTAGAAGTCTCATATCTGGCAATAAGAAGCAGGTGTCCAACAGACCACAGCAATGTTTTTTTGGTTTGGTGAAGGATAACTTCATCAGGCTGTGCTGATGGGCCTAGAGCTCTTCTGCTCACATAGAAGTATCAAGATATTATGGCACTGAAGGATCCAGTATATCAGGAAAAGTGAAATATTGTGAGATTTTTCTGAAACAGCTTCTCTAATGTGTCTCAGCTTGCAAATGGCAAAGATGAAGATAGGTGACCATGTACCATTCTATAAGTGTGAAAGGGCTCAAGTTCTTGTAGTTACGCTTCACTGCGCACAGTCTTAACAGCCAAGACAAATATCTGATCACAATTTTCCGTTAGATATCAGTGGCATTCAGTTACTTAAACACTTCTGAGCAACTAACATAATAAAGATATAATTTATATATGCACTGAACACAACTCAATATTTCTGGGAGAAATTTAGTTCTGGAGTCTGGTGATTCAGTGGATAAAGACTGAATTAATCTCTGTTCATGTGTTAGCCCCAGTCTCAAAAAGTGTTTCAATAAGCCAATGATTTTGTTATCAAATGCCAAATAATTTGCTTTCAACACTTTCTTCATACTTAGCACACATATGAAACAATTTCTGGAGATCCATCTGAGTCTACCATCTCATTTCACAAACCTGATCACCTCAAAAAACATAATAAGGTAATCAGTGAGCAGATTTTCTTCTTTTTTTTCTTCTTACATTTCATTTCATATTCAAACTTGTCATTAACTTACTCAATCTTTCTCTATTCAAAAATTATTATTTTACTTTAAAGTCTATTTTTCAGTTGTTTTTTGTTTTTGTTGTTGCTAATCTTTAATTCAGTTGGTACACTAAATTCTGAGGAATAAGGTTGGGCCTGTTGGATCACTATCAAGTTCTTGTTCCTCTCACTATACTTGTATTTGGCTTGATGAACACTGACTAAAGATATTGTGTTACACTCTATTACCTCTTTCACCTTAGGATTGGAAGATAACAACCTCTATGCGAACTAGCCACAGCTATACTCCACCCTGATTAATAAGGCATCGGAGAAATCTATTTCAAGAAATTAGAAGGAAGATGGAAACTGAACTAAACCAGTTTTGCTCTAAAATGGAAAGGCCTTATCAAGACCAGAAAAATACCTTTGACAATTTTTATTTATATTTAGTACCTTCTGAATGCCTCAAAGAAAACAAACCCAGACAGTGACAAGAAAAGTGAACATACATCAAAAAAAGCTTAAGCAGCATTTTAAATTATACACAATCTGAAAGTTTCACAGCATTACAGAGATCATAAAAATATTCATCAATATGAAATAAATGATTTTACATAACAATATGTATGGCATGAAAATAGAATAGATGTAAAGCAAAGTCAAGATTTGACTGAAAGATTTAAAATTATTTCATACCTTTAAGTATACAAAAAAAAATTTAGAATAGACAAGAATGGTCTTGTAGCTGAAACCTTGTAAAATATTCTTCATTTATGTTTGTTCTCCATTTATGTTTGTTAATGCATACTGAATGCTCACACAGAGGTTTAGATGCAGTTTGCTCACAATTTGACACTCCTGTGTTACAGAATCATAGAATCAATTGCTCAGGTTGGAAAAGACCTTCAAGATCACCAACCAAAACCTAACCATGCTACCCTAACTCTAACAACACACCACTAAATCATGTCCCTGAGCATCAAATCCAAATGGTTTTTAAACACTTAAGGGATGGTGACTCAACCACCACCCCCCTGGGGAGCCTATTCTAGTGCTTAACAACTCTTTCTGTAAAGAAGTTTATCTTCATATCCAATCTAAACCTCCACTGGCATGACTTGAGGCCATTTCCCTTTGTCCTGTCAGCTGTCTCCAGTGAGAAGAGACCAACCCCGCTCTTGCTGCAACGACCTTTCAGGTATTTAAAGAGAGCTGTAAGGTCTCCCCTCAGCCCCCTTTTCCCCAGAGTAAACAGCCCCAATTCCTTCAATCACTCCTCATAGGGCATGCTCTCCAAGCCCCACACAAGCCTTGTTGCCTCTCTTTGGACCTGCCCCACCTCAATGTCCTTTCTGTATTGAGGTGCCCAAAACTGAACACAGTACTTGAGGTGGGGCCTCACCAGTGCCGAGTGCAAGGACACATTACTTCCCTGCTTCTGGTCCTGCTCACCACACCATGACCAGCATGCCTACTTGGCCTCCTGGGTACTCTGCTGGCTTGTATTAAGCCAATTGTCCATCAGTACACCAAGGTCTCTTTCCATAAGGCAATTTCCATCCACTCCTCCCCAAGCCTGTAGGGTTGCCTGGGGTTGTTGTGACCAAAATGCAGGACCCGACTCTTGGTCCTATTGAAACTCATACAGTTCACCCTGGCCCATTGATCCAGTCTATCCAGGTCCCTCTGTAGTGCCTTTCTCCCCTCAGGCAGATCAACACTCTCTCCCAACTTGGTGTTGTCTACAAACTTAGAGGGTGCACTCAATCTCCTCATCTAGATCGTTAATAAAGATGTTAAATAGAAGTGGCCCCATTACCGAGCCCTGGGGGACATCTCTCATGATTGGCCGCCAGCTGGATTTAACTCCATTGATTATAACCCTTTTGGCCCAGCCATCCATCCAGTGTTTCACCCAGCAGAGTGTATGCCCATCCAAACCAGGGGCAGGCAGCTTCACTATGAGAACACTGTGGGGGACAGTGTCAAAGTCCAGGCTGTCCACATCAACAGCGTTATCTTCACCCACTAAGCAAGTCATAGTCACCTTGTCATAGAACAAAATCAGGTTTGTCAAACAGGATCTACCACTCATGAACCCATGCTGACTGGGCCTATCTCCTGGTTGATCTCTAATTGACCCACGATGGCTCCTGGGATTATCTTTTCTATAACCTTTCCCGGCATCAAGGTGAGACAGATAGCTCTATAGCCACCAGGATCATATTTCTGGCCCTTTTTGAAGATGAGGTGTCACATTTGCCAGTCTCCAGTCCACCAGGACAGCCTGTTAGCCAGGACTGTTGAAGGATGATGGAGAATGGCTTGGCGACCACATCTGCCAACTCTCTCAGCACTCCAAGGTCCCATCAGGCCCCA